AACCCAAATAACGGACCCCATGTCAAATTGAAGATTTTTTCTTCAATTAAAAATTGAAGAAAGTGGGAAATATCAATTGTTAAATACTTGATGGCAAGCATTTCCAATCCAACAGAAGTGTGACATGATTATGGAACACAATTAAATCAAATATGATATTGCATGGACCCAAAATATTTTATGCTCATTATGTGTCTTTATTTATTTATTTATTTTGGAGTAACTGATTTAGGGTTTTAAATGCAATTTCATATGCTTAACTTCACTGGTAACGGCAGCAGAGAGATAGGGTCTCATGAAGCAACTACTAACTTCAATGTCTCTATTTTCGGTCCAGCATTGATGCCCAAACTGGGTTGGCAACTTATGCAAGTGAAGTTTTACTCTATAGAAATTATTCTTTCTGTATTGTGCTTGACAAAGGCACAGCAGTGAAGGTGTTGAATTTTTGAGTTTTCAACTCTGAAATAACAGTGAACCAAGGAAGAGAATCTCTCAATTATTAGATGAAAAGTAATCAACTTACGAGGCGATAGAGATGGAGACTCTTTAGACGGTGATCGCCTGCACCAACCAAGACCATTGGCTGTTAGCAAATGAACATTGTGAGTGAAAACAACACACAGCGTCCAAGTTTCACTACCACTTAAAAATCTACAATGAATGGCTTGAGCTACAAGGCTAACGCCTGAAGGATCACAAGTAAACATTCAAAACATATTCTAGATACCTTTGCGACGATACAAGGCCCTTGCCATCCCTCGAGGTATTAACTTCGTTGGCCTGAATGATTCAAAACGCCAGCAATAAATTGGAGAAGGAAAAAAAGAAAGAAACAGGAGAAATGAGAAAAGTGGTATCGCAAACTAGAAAAAGAAGATCAAAAGCACTAAAGAAAAGGAAAAAACATTGATTTCGAAGCCGACAAAAGCACCTTGCTGCTATTGTTGGCCCTGTTTGCTCCAAAACCACGGCTTGGTTTGGAATCCGTGCATCGTATTTGAAGCGAGAAGAAATTGCTGCTTCTGACACAGGTCCACATTATGTGAAAATTTTAAAACTTCATCCTGACTGAGAAATTGGACTGGAAGTTAGAAGAGAGCACCATTCGCAATTCGCACTGGTATGCTTGCACCCTCACCATTCCAAGTCCAGGGTGATGATAAGTTCCCAGAAATCTCCGGTGCTCCACGTCATCACCTGATTTCATCCGAGTCAGCACGTAACATTCCAAAATTTTACAATATTGCATAGGAAAAAGGGAAAACTTCCTTAAAAAATTGATTATTGAATTTTAAAATTTTAAATCAGGAATTATTATAAAATGTGTTTTCACTTAACAGTCATTTTTTTGAGATTTTTTCAAAAAAAAAATTACCATCTCAGTTAAATAATTTAATTATTAAAAAATCTTAAGTGACTAACATGCAACAATTTCCCACGTAAAATATGACACTCTTCACTTATGAAACTTTTTAGAGAATTAAATTACTTGCGTGGAATACAGTAGCTTTTCCTATTAAAAATCATAAACTCATAAAATGATATTTAAATTCAAAAAGTATCGATTTAATAACAGTTTGATCTTAAAAAAAACAATTTTAAAATATAAATTGTTAATATGCATTTAAAACTTTAATTTTCTTATATACAATAAAAACTTTTAAATTTTGTAATCATCTGAATCAATATTTACATATTTTTGTAAAAGATTTTATCAAGAACCTGATTATAATTAAACGAATTTTTTGAAATTTGACTGTCATCCTCCGTACGATTTCATAGTAGTTAGTTGCGCGCGAGTTACGTCATTTGTAAATAATGTGATTTATTATAAATTTTACGTTTTATTAAAATTTATATTAATTGATTTAATTTGGTTTCAATTTAATCTTTTAGTTGTTTTAAATCATTTCAATCATTTAAATTAAAAAATGTTTATCCCAAAAATAGTGAAAAGCATCCCCTCCTTTAACGTCCTCAGTTTGTTGATATCATTAATAATTAATATTTATATTTGTTTTCTTCCATAATTTAGCAAGCCTCCAAAAAATTAGTAGGAGATACCACGTATCATATAATCAAAGCAACCAAATGTCAGATAAAGAGAAAGGTGATTAGCTTTGACTACAACAATAAATAGGGAGAATTAATATGCCAGTCTTTATTCTTTTCCTCATTTTTTAATTAGGTCCTTATACTTTTTATTTTATTTTATTGAATTCTTATTGTTTCAAACGTTAAAAGCGTTAGTCCTTCTGTTTAAAATCTGTCAAACCAAGTTAGAGCATCATTGAAAGAAGTTGATGTGACTTCCAGTTGGATCAAATGTGGCAAGATTGACTTGGAGTGAAACCATATTTGTTGGTGTCTTTATTTCATTCAAAAAAGGCAAAAGAGAAGAGCATCGAATTTCTAGATTTCTGATTATTTTCAAAACCAATCCCGATATCATATTAAAAAAATCAAATAATCTTTTTTTTTTTTTTATTTTTAGCATTCTAAAGAAGTAATTGATTAAGAAGAAGTAATTGATATTGATTAAATTAAATAGGACGAGCTTTTGTGCAAGAGTTTTGTCCTTGGAAGGAACAAAACAGTAACGAGCTTTCAAAATAGCACTGTTCATAGTCTTTGAATTTAACAATCAGGTGAGAGAAAATTGCTTCTATCCATTGAGTCTCTAAGCTTCATTCATTAGGAATTATTTGTAGTTTACTGGTTATGTTTTGGGTATATATTGAAACCCTAGCACGATGTAGATGAAGCTAAGCCAGGTGATATTATGGTATTTGAAAATAGTGAATTAGTAATGAAGGAAAGTTGGGTGATGATTATTCTCATGGCTTTATTGATGTCGATGCATAAAACCTCCAAGAAGTTTTTAAGCCTAATAATGTCTTTGATTGTGAACAAGACTTTCTCTGTTCATTTATAATGGAAACAAGCAAAAGTAGACTGCTACTATGTTTTCCTCTGTTTTAGGTCCAAAAAACAGAGGTGAACAAAATAATATGGTAGCTACTTAGTACATGTGTTGACATATAAAAAATAGGGTTAAAAAGCTCAATAGCAATAGCATATCCTGTGTCTCTTGCCCGCGCTTATGATTCATAACCCCTCTATCACTCCTTGTCTCCTTCAATAAATTAAATACAGCATTATATATAATGAATTAAATTATTTTAGATTTCGTGTTTAATGTGTAAAAAGGGAGAAAAGACGCTATCTAGTTTGCTCAAACATAAATATGGAGTAGGAGCCTTTCTACTAGACAGTAGTGGTACCATTACTATCTAGTCAGGTTATTTGCTTAATCTCATAATAATAATGCGATTGTAAGTTGCGCCTTTAACTTGAGAATTTGGTATCTGGTAAAAAAGACTCTGGTTATATCCTACGTGGATTCACTCGAATGGTGTTATAACAGTTTTAACATTCAGGGATGGATGGCTTAAACGGCGGAAACAAGAAGGAGTTTATTAAAAAAAAAAAAAAGGTTGAAGGATCTGATTTAAAATGGAAAAAAAAAATAAGGATTGACATATTAGTTTTTCCTAATAAATATAATATGTGTGTGTGTGAGAGAGAATATGACATATACTTTACTAAATTTATCCTTTATAGGTTTGTACCAATACTTTGATACCTCTAAAAATATAATTTTCACTACAAGAATGGAGAAAGAACGTATAACATGAAACAATTTTTTTTCTGAAAAGGATAAATATAATGAAATAGAGGAAGTAATAGATGATCGATATGACAGACTGAAAATATCATTATTTTTTATTTTGTTAGCATCATGAATAAATTAAAAATTTTATAAGTAAATTAGTTTAAGTCTATATAAATTATTTATTAATTAAATTAACAATGCTAAGGCAAAAAAACTATATTTTTAAATCTAAAATATGGGGAAAATGGTTAAGAGAATAAAAAGAAACTTAAAATGAGAAAAGGATAGATTAAAAAATAATATTAATACAGTATAAAATAATATTAAAATTATACTTACATCATCATTAAAAGGATCCATACTCTATTTGCCTTGGTCCCTTTTTCGTACACGGCGTTAAATGTATACTACTTTTATATCACCATTTGACATGGTAAAATTTGAGCATGGTCATCCAATTCTGAGAGTAATTCTCTCATAGGTGCTTTTACATTCACACAAATTTAATTTTAAAATCTTGCATTTAAGCAGCTAAAAACCCGTAGTTATAAATTACTACTTCCGATCATTAATACAAGAGCTATAAGAATTAATTTGATTTTTAATTTGATTCTAAATATAAAATCTCAATCTATTTTGTCTCTCATGATTGTTTATTTTTATTTAAAGTTGTCGTTTTAGTAATTAGACATATTAAAAGTTTCATTAAATAGTAGTTATAGCTAATACACATAATTAATAAGAGTAGTTTAAAAAAAACTTGTATTTATTACAAATAACTAACTTAACAAACTTGTTTAATTTACTTAAATTAATCAACTAGTTTTTATATTAAGAACCTAAGATAAATTATACTTTGTTGTACAAAACATGCATGCCACAACAAAGCATAAAAAAGCCATAAGAACCATAAGAATTGTTATGAAAAATAAACACGAATAATTTTAAAAAAAAAAAAGTTTAACCAATAGAAAAAGAATTTGTAGCTATCGGTAAAGCTCAAATACAATAAATTTTGCTTTTCTTTTAAAATCAAATACGTATTTCCTTTTCTTTCTTTTTTTGGGCCAACATACGTACTCCATTGATCTTTCTTAAAAATAATCAAAATTTAAATATCATTATATATTAACATAATATAATGAATATCAAATATATAATAGAATAAAAATGAAGTATAGTCTTCAAAATCACTTTCTACCTTTTATATAATAAATTGAATGGTGTCATGGTATGTATAAATAGGCTCGAGTATAATACAGTTCATGTTACGGGAATAAGGTATAATGAGATCATAAAAGTTGGCCCAAAAAGCAAGAGATTATAAAAGCTAACAACTACTATTACACAGCATAAGCAATCAATACAACAATTCTTATTCTGATAGGAGGACATTAAAAAGTTTAGTATTAATGGACTATATATATAACAGGACCTTCAATGTACATAATAGATTTATACTATATCTATCTCTTCTTCCAAAATCATCAAAATCAAGATGGCATATAGATGCATTTTTTTAAGCCGCAATAGATATCATTGTCAAACAAACTCACTCTCACAGGAAGACTGGAGCCATAACTAGTGTAATTGTTGCAAGCATCTTAATAACAACATGAAGTGAAGGCCCAGCTGTGTCTTTGAAAGGGTCTCCCACCCTGCAACACAAGTTAAAAAACAGATGAAAACATAAATCTCTACCATCTTTCTGGCCACCGGGGGGGGGGGGGGGAGGAAAATCCAGAAAGAGCACATTATGACCAAATTAAGGTGGGAACTTGGACAAGTCACTTATTTGCTTCAAATAAAAGTCAAATCTGCATCACATGCACTAGCTGGACAAAATATGTAACTTCAAAATGCTGTTTATATCCACGTATTAAGGTGCCAGTTCACCTTAAAAATTAGCCAAATACTGAGGCCATAACTTTTAAGCTCAGTGATTCCAAAGACAGTCCTACTCTTGTAAACTAGTCTAAATTTTTAATTTAGTTCTGAGAAAGTTCAGTAAGGGGAGAGAATACAGGAGACTGATGAATTTTAGTACAGTGATATTAGAGTTAGGGCTGAAAGATTCAAATTTGAATCCAAGTTTAAGTCAAAACTAAACCCCCAAAAGTAATAAAACGAAGGAATCCTCCTATACGCAATCAAACCCCCTTGATTGCACCATGTCACCTCATAAAGCAAGATGGTTGGGCAATGTTACCAGAGCTAGAGTAGCATTACAAACTCAAATACGTATGATACTGGCTTATTATTTATTTAAATGAAAGACAATGATAAAAGTAACATACGTGTCTCCAGTTACTGCAGCTTTGTGAGCATCGCTACCCTTGCCTCCAAGTGCTCCAGTCTCAATGTACTTCTTTGCATTATCCCAGGCACCACCGGCAGTGTTCAGGAAAAGTGCCATCAGAATACCAGAAACTGTTGCAAACATCAGGAAGGCAGCCACAACTTTAGCCCCAAGTAGTGGGTGCCCTGTATAGTAACCCAAAATTCGGAACAGAAATCCTGCAAGTGATACCCATGTTCAGCGTCCCATTCATGACGTAGATTTGAATTAACCAAAAAAACAAAAAAAGATCTAATAACCCCAAAAAAAATGAAGACGTAGCTTTTTCAGATCTATGGAGCAGGGCGATTAGAATGAACCCATAAATTTGAAAGCAACTGAAATTAAGAACTGAAAGCTCAAACATTAATCATTGGCAACACACCGAGGAGTTGGGACTCCTCCGCAGACAAAATAATGGGTCTAAAGATTTAGCAATCAGAAGGCTTACATGAGATCCTTTTTTCTTTTTTTTTGGGTAATTAAAGATATGCAACTGCAGATATGATTATACATACTCATTAAAATTCAATATCATGATATGATATGACCCGTCAAGCAATTATGAGACTCATGCAATTATATCAAGTTACCTAAACTTACATTCATGTAAACATTTTCCATCAAAGTAGGTACCAATGACTAATACATGTAAAATGTGCAATAAAAAACACAGCAATTAACCCACCAACAACAATAGGCGAAATGATGGCAAGAGCACCAGGTTTTATCATCTCCCTCAGTGAAGCAGATGCTACGATAGCAACACATCGACCATAATCTGGTTTCTCCTTATACTCCTATAAAGAGCACAGAGATGGTTAAATGCCAAATTTGCAATTACTTAGAAGTTAGTTAAGAAATCCAAACTCACCATAATGCCAGGCCTCTCAATGAACTGCCTTCTTACTTCATTAACAACTTCTTGAGCAGTTCGGCCAACAGCAGAACAAGCCCAAGCGCTGAACAGAAAAATAAGCATCGAACCCAACAGCCCACCAACAAAAACTTCTGGAATTGCAATATCAACCTGGAATTCATCAAAATTCAAGTGTATGACAGTATGAGTGCAGGACAACATAAAAATAACACTAGTATTAGGATACTAGGAGCCAGTTCTCTCCACCTGTTTCAAAGGTTCATGTGCAAATGCAGAAACCTCATCCATATAAGCACTAAACAAAAGGAAAGAAGCAAGAGCAGCAGAACCAATAGCAAATCCTTTAGTAGTAGCTTTGGTTGTGTTACCAACGGCGTCAAGAACATCAGTGATCTCTCGGACACTTTCAGGCTGTAAAGAATACACATGAAGAACACGAGTTATTTCAGTTTATGTGGGAAAATTAGAGATAAAGCCTCAGACAATAGTCAATCTAGGACTACCTGCTGACTCATCTCTACAATACCTCCAGCATTATCAGCAATCGGACCAAACATATCCATGGTAAGAACATAAGCAGCGGTGCTCAGCATTCCCATAGTTGCTACAGCTGTGCCAAAAAGCCCACCAGTTGGGTTTCCTGCTTCATCAACCAGCCCAGAGCTGTGACCCAGCCAGAATGCAGAGACAATTGACACACTAATGACAAGGACAGGAAGAGCAGTTGATTCCAGGCCCAAGCTGACCCCAGCAATTATATTTGTCCCATGACCCGTGGAGCTAGAAAGGGCTATTGCACGCACAGGCTCATGCTTGTAGTCAGTGTAATACTTGGTTATCCAGACAAAAATGTAAGCAGTGATTATACCAATCAACCCACACAAGGCAAAATTGAACCACGCTGATGGAGCTTGTTCTGTGTACAGTAACCACCGAGTAGACTGTAGAGTAATTATTATCAAACAGAAAGCAGAACAGATAAGTAACAAGAATTTAAAAATTAATGCAGATGTCTTGCAGTTGAATTCCTATACATGTATTTTCATTCGCAAAACCACAGCATAGAAAACACCAGCATTGGCTGATCCAGAAAATTTGCACTAGAAAAATGAGCACAAAATAATTGAAGATGAATGATTACCAGACCGAAAGTCAGAACAGCTAAAACTATCGTAATAGAGTATCCTTTCTGAAGAATTGTCATTGGATCCTCAATGGGAGCCTTAACACCACTCTCACGTGTGCCCCTAATTGAAAATATTCCAACTGATGAAACCACCAGATCAAATGAGTGAACAACAAGAGGAAACAAGATGAAGCCAGACGGATCTGAAGCAAAGAAAAATAATCAAATTAGATGAGCATATATAATCAAAACCACTGATAACTTTTTGTTGGGGGGGGGGGGGATGACATGGATAGCAGTAACCAGTTACTGACCTATTTTACACCGCTGTGCCATTGTTCCCCCAAGTATCATGGCACTGATTATTTCCGCTGCAATACTTTCAAAAAGATCAGCACCTCTAGCAGCACAATCTCCCACATTGTCTCCAACCTTAAAAACAAGTGCAAACCAGTATGTAAACTTATAGATTGTAGATGCACTTTGTCACACTACCACCATGGAGAACAAACACCACGCACAGGGCATAAAATGAAAAATTTACATTGGCTTTTCTAAAATGACTTTTGAAAATCAAATTTCCATTTTTTCAGAAAAACCATGAGCATCACATTTGCCGTAATCCTGGTGTCAAATGTGACACGAAAGATCAGCAACAAAAGTAGGCCAAGGAAACAAAGGTAATCAGAAATTGTATATTTAACTATCATACACCCCGACAAATCTCTGATTGTTTGTGCCAAATCAGGACCCTTCATGTCAGGAAATCACATAAAATTACCATCCTAGTCTCACTTTTGGTTTAGCACAGAACCGCATTTGCTTAAGGTACACAGTTGGATTGGGGATAAACATTTATGTTTCCTTCTTTAAAGAACACCATAAAAGACATTAATGTAACATTGAATGGAAAAGTAATTAATATGCAAAATCAACTCACATTAAAATTAAAAGTTGTATAGCACGGAAAAGAAGTACCAAAACTCACATAAAGTTAATGCCAACTCTAATGCCTGAGCTCTTTTAAAAAATGAAGGGAAAACAATTACCAGGTCAGCAATTACAGCAGGATTCCGAGGGTCATCTTCAGGAATCCCCTGCTCCACTTTTCCAACAAGGTCTGCTCCAACATCAGCTGCCTTCGTGTATATTCCACCACCCAGCTGTGCGAACAGTGCAACAAAGGAGGCACCAAAACCATATCCAACAAGAAGAAGAGGCACTATAAACAGAAGAGTCCTAATGTCAAAAATTAGCTAGAGAGAGGGTATGCAACATGATAGCTGCCAAGAAATGAAAAGAGGAAAGGTCATATGAGACACGCAAGTCACATATTGAATAGTATCAAATGCACTATGGGTTACTTGTACAGGTTGGTTCTCCCAGCTTGATGGCTAACATTTAGGGGAGGGTTCTCCACCACATTGGGGTGCCCATCAAGTATAAAAATCGCAGTGCAGCTATAGCATTAGCATAAATTGAGGGTAAGGGGTATTATGGACGTTGTCATTGAGCTTTCGATAACAAATTTTATTAGTCCCTCATTGTTTTGCCTTCTATTCTCCTAAAACTGTCCAACACAAGCAAGATGCTTAAGAACTGCTGCTCAGTAAAAATACCAATGTCTTCAAATCAAACACATCATTTAACTGCAAAATGCACATCGCCACAAGATCTAACCCCTCATTACCTCCCCCAGATTCCACACTAGATCATGAAACTTTATTCCAAACTCCTTAGAAAAACCAAATGCTTGACAGCAAATGTAAAGAAGCCTACTCAAAATATTTCCAGTGCGGAAACAATGTAAAAGCAGATGATCATGTTTCATGTATAATTGTCCAATCAATATTAATCACAATAACAAAAGTCCTGCTTTTTCCACACATAATAAATCAGCATATTATATAATAAGCTATTTGAACTGACGTACAAATAAAAAGACACAACAGCAAGGTCTGTTGAAGATATTTTCCCAATTATATATGATTCCCAAATATTTGCAAAAGGACAGGCAACACATGTTTATCCAAGTGCATGCCAAAAAAATTAAAAAAAAGAACATTTTATTCAGTAAGCTGGTAAGGAGATGATACATACAATCAGTAACCTTCATTGCACCCGGTGTGTCCACTCCCAACCAAACATAAAATGTGGCATAAAGGATTGCTATACCAAGTACAGCCATACCAACAACAACAAGAGCTGATAAACCACCAGCACGAGTAGCTACCTGCACAATTCTTTCCCAATTAATATAGAAGTTTTAGACCTTTCACAGTTTTCTGAGAAAATAATGGTTTAACCTGCAATGCCTCTCTTGCAGACCGTCTTGCAGCACTAGAAACTCTGACATTGGCACGGACTGACACCCACATTCCTACATATCCCGCAATACCAGAACAAAGAGCACCTAAAAGGAATGCGGCTACTGTGATGTACGCAGAAGATGACCTGAATCAGAATATAGGTATATGAAATATAAGAACAGGTAAAAGCAAAAGATAGTATATTAATAGATGATAATATCTAAGCATCACCTTCCCAGGCCAGAAGATTCCTGTTGAGGAGTGGTACTACGGAACAAATATATGCAAAGGATCACTAGAGCAAGCAACATTGCCATCTTGGATATACTACTATATTGGGTCCTGAAAAATCCTTCAGCTCCATCTCGTATTGCGTCTGATATCTAGAAAACAATATGACAAGCCCAGGAAAAGTAAGCAAGAGTTCAAAGCACGTGATCCAGTTATGAATAGATGTCATAACAACAGAAGACACCGCAATATATGATTTGCATGCAAGTGATTTTTACAATGTTCAGACATGAAATTTAACTATGTCAAGAGTATTAGCCTGTTTGACTGCGGCTTTTAGGAAAAAAACTTATTTTAATGACATCCCAGACATGCTTCCTTAGACTTGTGTTTCTGGTACTCAAAACACAAATGATGAGAAGTATCCCATAAATACAGGAAAGAAATTATTAATAAAAACTGGTGATACATGTGCTACAGTGCAGCCACAGCATGGATTCAGTGACAACCTTCTTTAGAAGCTTCTATTGTCATATGCTGTCATCTCTTCACTCTGGTATTACTTTATTCGTGTTTCTCTAACATCAAGATATGTTTTTGCCCCTTCAAATGTTATTTGACTCATGGTACGACTAAGATTCAGCTACCATCTAGGACTAGGATATGGCTATTGCCCTTGTTCCCTCTCCAAATACAAGTATCTAGTTTCTGTACTAATAAATTAGACTACTAGACGTCAATGTCCATTCTTGTACCATCTCTCTGTCTTGTCAGAGACAGAAGGTACTGATGACTTCCTAAGAGGCTCATATGGAGCATTAATTACAGAGATCAGAGTGGCTTCTTCCACCATTAAGAGAACTTCCTGCACTAGCACTCGAGTTGCCTGCTGCCCAGACCAACTATTAAGTCTAAGATATTTTCACTACGAAAATTTTGTAACCATAGTATACCTGTAAACATTTTGTCATCTGAATTAAAAGAAAACAGAAAAGAAGCTTGAACTAAACGATTCAAGCCATCAGAGTCTCAACCAAATTCTTGATTACAATCTAACAGAAGGTGCAGCTTTCTTCCAAACACAATTAGCCTCTACGTCATATTGGTGAAATCTGTTCATCTCTCATTTCTCCATCAACCAATGGCAAGCGAGAAAAAGATTCCTCATACTTACCTACCTCTTGCGTTAACTTAGCTTTATGTTAACTCATAAAACAAAAATGATTATTCAGTCCAAAAGCAAAAGTACAAAACTTCACATTTCATGTCAACACTCTATTCGAGTCCATTCAGTAAACATAATAGAACAGAATGGAATTAAAAAAAAAAATTGAATGAATGAAAAAGGTGATTTTGTATCTGGGAATATCTCTCCCATCTAAATGATGATGATGCGATAATTCCTATGGAGTAATGATAACAAATACAATGTTATATATATCTCTCCTTTTCTTTTCTTTTCTTTTTTTGGCAAAGAAAATGGACTGCCTTTCCTATGTTCTAACCAAACAGGGCATTAGTTAAATAATATGAAATTAACTAAAACTACATGGACGCATTTTTGACCCCAAACTAATAATTTAGTAAAATGAAGCCCAGAAATATAGATTGGGAACGGGGTGAAGTGAGTAAATACTAGATCAGCCAAACCAAAGAAAGTAGATTTACCTGAACCATTTCAGGAGGGCCCTCATCCTTTGCAAGCACCCACTTTGTAAGATATATTGACACAAGGAAGCTGAGAATACAAACAGAGAAGACAAACACAAGGATTGGAGATGTGCTTGCTCCAACGTAGAAGACAGCTCCAAGACCCAGAAGCAAAAGCATGAACAGGACACGAGTATTTATACCAAGAAGAATACGAAATATCTGCAAAAAGCTAAAAGTCAAAAATTTCTGAGGCTATGAAATATCCAAAGGAAGACGCCGAATCAGCAATGGCTCATGACTTACTAGGCAAAGCATATACAACAACAACAACAACAAAAAATTTTTTGGGGGGGGAGGGTATTAAGTTACATGAAAAATACAATAAGTAAACTTTTTTTGTCGGGTAAATGAATGCATTATTGATAAAACATTAAAGCAAGTAAATTAATACAATAAGACAACAGAAGATGACCATAGGTCCCTTACCAGTGGGGTGTAGGCTTTACTACGCATGTTGGGAAATGTTCTTGGTTTGTCCTGGTAAGGCCCTAAACTACCGCTCTCCATATCATCATCCATTGTTACAGTATGGGATGAATTCACCCTCCGGGCTACAGGATAAGGGTTGTACTCACCACCTTGGGGCAAGTCGCCCCCCGAACCTGGTCGCTGAATTTTGAAGGATTTTAACAACTAATATGGTCTTCAGGTTTTACTGCTGGCTTACAAGCAGAAAACATCGTTTGTTGACAGTCCAGGTAGTCTTTAGTTACAAGCAAGAGCTCCTTTCCCTCTCCAGCAGTCAGGATTTAAAGTCGAGAATCTTGATGTATTCCGCTTCAAATCTCTGATAATCCAAATAAATCACAATCAGAAACATATGCACTAAATGCAAATAAGATGTGTGCTCGACATGAATAAGAAATATATATATTAAAACAATTAAGTATACCACATAATTCAAATAAACAGTTGCTCCAGGGATGAATCTAGCTTTCAATAAGTGGGGCTCAAATTGAACTCTATATTTAAGTTGGGGAGCAAGAATCCATTTAGCTTTTTTTTTTTTTTTTTTTTACAAGAACCATTATAAAAAGGTAGCGTAAGTCTGGGGAGGAAGCCCCCGCCCCAGGCATTCCGCTCAGAGTTGCTTGATGCAAAAGAATGCAATCATACACATCCTTAATTACTTCAATAGCCATCATATCGTAGAAAAGTCTATATCTTGGATACTTAAATGATAAAAATCTTAAAGTTCCGTCCGTTTTCTGAGAATATACATTTCAAGCAACAGATCCCGTTCTTTTTCTGTTGGCTCGGTAAAGGCTTGGTCAAGAATTATGTCTGATTAGTTGAACTACGAAAACATTTGTCAGATGAGAAGGTAGCAAACATTTCTCGGGACACAAACATTGTAGAAACAGTCACATGATTCATTTCAGAGGATTACTCATAATCTGAGCCATAAAAGTTTCGGATCTAAAAACAAAACGGAAGACTGAACACGAACAGCAAGTCAGAATATGAAATGATATAATGGAGCAAGTAATCGAATACCAGCAACGGTCGCCTCCGTCGTTCGACGCAAATACATTGACAGTATAAAGAGTCTTACAAGCAGATCTAATGCTGTTGAACGCAATTCGTCGTCAACTATGCTTTGCCTTCCACTGCTCTGCCTCTGGTTTCCCCTGCGATTACACAACAGTAAGAAAGGGGAAAATCTTCGACGGGAAAGATGAAACGAAAATTTCGCTTTTCTTACCAAAAAGGGAAGAAAAAAAAATGGTCACGAATATTGAGCAGTGAGCGGAGGAAGGCACAAGTTCGCAATTGAAATATGCATATTCGCTTCTTTTTTATCTATTGAACCTGTTCTTCAAATTGGTGTCGCTGATGTGTCAATTAGATCCAGTAGGATGACGCCATCTCATGTTAAACACGTATCAATTGGCTGCTAATGGAATTACATAGTTCCAAAATCATTTTGGTAATGGACATCTGTTTTTTGATTTGTTAGGCCGAGTACAGGAAAAGTCTTCAGATGCTGCCAGAAAATAAGTTAATAAATTAGTCTTTGCAAAATGAATTAATAGTCAATGATGTGTGGGTAATGTGAATTAATTATTTAGATAAAATGGCGTATAGTACACTCCGATCTTATTTGCTTTATGTATTCGGTAGTATTCTTCCTGTCCTAATTATAAGACTCAATTGATTTATTTGAGGAGATTAAGGAAGTAAGTTAAGTTGGTTGTTTATAATAAATAAGTGTTGTCATTCCTAAAATATCCTTACTAATTAAGTATATTGGCTAAAACTATCATTATTAGAAGGATTATTTTGGAAAAAAATGCATAAATATAAGAGACAAAATGGATTAGGGTCTTATAATTAGGACCAAATAAAAAGTCAAATGGGGTCTCATAATAAGGACCGGAGGAGTATGATCTTATATATATATAGTACATTTAACATCCTGATTTTATTCTTTTTGCATATTTAATATCGTAATCTTATTTTTAATGCATCCAATACAGTAAAATTTAGGGTTACCTTGAGATACTGAATGCTCTAGAAAATTAAGATTGATGCACACTATATAAAAGATCATAGTGCTAGATGTATCTAAGAAATAATATCAACATGCATGCACATTTATTATTAAATATTTTCAAATTTTGTTTTCTTATAAATAAATGTCTTATTAAACTATTTGTTATTTCATAAATTACTGATATGTCCCACTATGCATGCCAAAATTAATTATGAACATTATAGTTATCTCATAAGCTAATTCTAAATGGCTTAATTCAATTATTTCTGCTGAAAATATTCGTCTATTAATCTTTGCATTAAGACGCTGTTGTATCAATTGGATCTTGGGTGCTTGGCTCAAACTCGTTTTAAACGACATTTTTTTTTCAATTTGGCCAAGAAATTATTGGTTTTTTAAATTTTGTATCTAGCAAAATTATAATATCATAAAAATGTGTATTTAAAAATAAATTTGCATGAATAAAATTATTTTAGTAATACTTTTCTGTTGATTTGCAAAAATACAATTACTTAGTGTAATGTCACCCTCTTGCTCCATTAATACTTCTCACGCCTTCATATAAAATCTAGTTTATAATTTAAAATTAAACTATAAATTAAATTTTATATTAAGAATTAAAAGTAGTACATTTAATTTAATAGGTCCGGTCACTATTGTTGTTCTAAGCTTTTTTGTTGGTTTTTTTCTATAAAGGTTTTTTTTTGGACTTATAATTAAGATTGACAAGCTTATTCAACTCAAGTTGCGAAGTCAGAAGTCATATCATCAAACTAAGGGCCCGTTTGGGATCACGTTTGGGGGCCCAAACATGCGTCCCAAACGGACTTGTGGGGTGGCTGACATTTTTGAGTGTTTGGATGCCCGATTGCCCAATCTGACGTTTGTGGTTTAAATGGGCTTCTGAGAGAAGCTCATATTTTGAGCTTTTTTTTCGGACGTGCAGCTGGGGTGAGGAAACCGTTGGAGTGTGTTTAATTGTTTTACCTAACTGACCCTCTCTGCATGTATTTTCTCTGACCTCACTCAGCTCAAAGACAAAAACGCACACACGCACTCAGCCACAACACGCTCTGAAACTTAAAAAAAAATCCTCCCGACGTCTGCTGCCAACTCGCCGTGCGCCCGCCGTCTCCCGCCGTGCGTCCGCCGTCTCCCGCCGTGCGTCCGCCGTCTCCCGCCGTGCGTCCGCCGTCTCCCGCCGTCTCAACAGTTCGGGTTCAAGTGTGGTCGGTCGTTCAGTTCTTCCAGCGTCTCATCAGTTCTTTCCTCTGTTCGTTGAGTTGTTCCAGCGTCGCCGTCTCCCGCCGTGTCTCCGCCGTGTCCCGCCGTCTCGTCAGTTGCGGTTGTTGTGTGGGAGTGGCTAGACCTTGGTCGTTCGTTCAGATCCGTCAAATACCGTCGCCGTTGATCTTCTTTCCCTGTTCGGTTGCAAGCGTCGCCGTCCGTTTGAGGTGCCGCCGGATCGCATCTGCTCCAGATCCACACTGCTCAGAGTCTCCTTTGTACGCCTGGTAAGAGATACGCAATTTTGGTCCCAGATCTGGTTGTCTTCGATTGTTCTTGGCTCTTCGATTGTGATATGGCTGCCGGCGGATGCATGGCTGTTATAGGAGTGTTCTTGGCTCTTCGATTGTTATAGGAGTCCTTAATATGATATTGTTGCTATTAATCTGATGTTCTTTCGATCAGTGTGGCCTGGCTGTCGAACTTGATAGTAGTGTAGTAGGAAGAACTGACTTGAACGTATGGAATAATGTGGTTTTTTGGCTGTGTTTTATCTGTGTTTCCTGTTAATTATTTGTGACAATGTCAGACTCGTAGGCGCATTTTAGTTTGAAAATTTGAAGATCTGTGTTTCTATTTATTTGTAGTTCTATGTTTCTATTTTATGATTTGTGGTTCTGGCAAACTGACTACCCCTTTGCTGTTAATTATTTGCCACAAGCTCCGAAAAGTATACGTTTTTTAGTTTGAAAATCTGAAGCTCGGTGTTTGTAAAAAGTGGCGTATATATTCATCAATAATGGTTATTGTTGATAAGTATGTTTTACAAACCTAAATATATATGATTGTGATATTATAATTTATACATATTATATATATATTAGATATTTCCTGTCATATTTATTTACAAAATAAACATAATATTTCTGCATTGTTGGAAGAAAAGTGTTCTGGTTCACTGTAACTCCCTTTTGCATTCTTGATTGACATTTTTTAATAGAACTATGAACAAAGAAAAAAGTAAGGCAACATAGGATACAAGCACTACAGAGGTGTTACTTAAAGAATGCATGGAGCAAATCTACCGGAAAAATCGTCAAGGAACATCATTTTCAAAGACTGGGTGGAACAACATTCACTCTGCATTCAATGCAAAAACAGGAAAATCTTATGAGAAGAAGCAATTGAAAAATAGGCTCGATAGCTTGAGGAAGGATTGGAGGACATGGGTTGATTTAAACAAAGAGACTGGTGTAGGTTGGGACCCTGTAAACAATACAGTGGTGGCAACAAATGAGTGGTGGGAGAAGAAAAAACTGGTATATAATTGTTGATCTTGAGTTATAAACTGTGTTATTACTTGTTATAGGCTTTTTATTTTTGTTGATTGTATTCTTGCAGGAGAATCCCCAATATGAAAAGTTTAGGTACCAGGGGTTAAAGTTTGCTTATGAATTAAACACGATATTCAAGGGTGTGATAGCATCTGGAGAGGATATGTTGGCACCGTCTTTAACCCAACCTCAGACACAAGAGGATGATGAAGAGAATGTGTATAGAGTTGATACAGATCTCCTTGAAGGATCGGGGGATAGCGAAGAAGATCTTGGAGGTGCTAGTGTAGGAGTTACGGATGAGATGGCAGGCGTAAACTTAACAGCAAATACTGCACCTAGTGGTTCAGGAAGCCATGGGAAGAGGAAGAGAGGTGAAGGGTCTAGCAGGCAAACAAAGCAAAAACTTCCGGCCTCAAGACAAATAGCGGATTCAGTTAGTGAAATAGCTACTGCATCTAAGGATAGAGCTGCAACTCTTAAGAAAATAAAAGAGGTATCAATTTCTGAGGTTACGGCCGAAGTGCTCTGCCTTGAGGAAATTACAAGTGACTCTGATTTCCGGAACCGGTGCTTAAGACTTCTGTTGCACAAGAGTGTTCGGGAAATGGTTGTTTCACTAAAAGGACAGCCGGAATACTTGGTTGCATGGCTACAGGATATGGCATACAATCCACCATCATGGCTGAAACCCCCGCCTGCTTGAACTATATTTTAGGACGCATGTTATGATTTTATTTTGTCTAACTCGGACCAGAGTTGTTATTATATGTTTTTAAGTTAATGTTTGTGGAACTATGAAATTATGTAACTTGTTAACTGACTATGAATGTTTTTAAGTTACATGTGTTATTTATAATGGTAATTGCAGCTTATGAATGTTTTTAGACTAATTTTTATGTCTTTGCATGTTTAACAGAAAGAAATATTTATTTGCACATACCTAAAAATATTTATTTGTCGTTTAAAAAAATTCTTACAGTTGAATTTAACCACACTCACAGGTGACATTATCTATGGCAAATTGGAACAATCAATTTACGTTTGAGTGGATGGAGGAAGATGAACAGTCTGAAGAGGAGTCGGAGGAAGATGAACAGTCTCAATTGATTTCCCTTCTAGATGAAGAGATAACACAATATGAAGAGGTAGCTGTATTGGTGAGTCAATATGTGATGCCTTATGTGTGCAAAGAGCCACGAAGAACTAGTCAGCAAACAGGTAATTTATGGGTGCAAGAAATTTTGCGAGATCATGAAATTCGGTGTTATGACATGTTTCGAATGGAAAAAGAAATGTTCATGCGATTATGCTCTAAACTGGTCGAACATGGTTTAAAAAATTCTAAGTATCTGGGAGTGGAAGAAATTGTTGGTATGTTTTTGAACACGGTAGGTCATGGACAATGTAATAGGATGATTCAAGAAAGGTTTCAACATTCAGGAGAAACTGTAAGCAGGCATTTTCATAGAGTATTACAGGCTTGCCTTAGTCTTTCCAGGGAATACATCAAACCACTCGATCCTACGTTTTCTGTAACTCACCCAAAAATAAAAAACGATAAACGATATTCGCCATATTTCAATGATGCAATTGGAGCAATTGATGGCACTCATGTACGATGTGTGGTGAGTCTTTCGAAGCAAGACAAATATATCGGGAGAAAGGGATATCCGACACAGAATGTCATGGCTGTATGTGATTGGGACATGTGCTTCACTTTTGTGTTAGCGGGATGGGAAGGTACTGCACATGATGCTCGTGTGTTTAACACTGCTGTCTCAACTCCAGCCTTGGATTTCCCTCATCCACCTCCAGGTATATTTTCAGTAGCTTCAGTTTTAATTATGTCAAATTCATTTGATATTTTCATTAATTTCACAATGTCAACATAATTTCATGATTTATTAGGGAAGTATTATTTGGTCGATGCTGGCTATCCAACTCCACCAGGATATCTTGGTCCGTACAGATGTGAGCGCTATCACCTTCCAGACTTCAGGCGACAACCGGGATTTGAAAATTATAACGAAGTCTTCAATTACTACCATTCAAGTTTGAGGTGCACTATAGAAAGGACTTTCGGGGTGTGGAAGAATAAGTTTCGCATCTTAGAGAAGATGCCAAGTTACAAGTATAAAACTCAAGTCCAAGTAGTTTGTGCTACAATGGCTATACATAATTTCCTCCGAAGAAATTCTGAAACTGATAAAGATTTCATAGAAGCTCAATCTGAAGGTACAATTGACGAAGACAATCATGATGAAGCTGGTGAGACATCCTCTTCAAATTTACCTAGATCAAGACAAATGAATCATGTGCGTGACACAATCAGAGACCAAATTGTATTGAGCATGGCATCCAATTAGTTATTTGATGTATTTAGTTTAAAAATGCTACGTATGTATGACCTCTAATTTACATATTTATCCATTACATATATTTAATTAAGTTTTTTATTATTTTTCAATTTCCTTCTAGTAATAACTTAATTTTTTTTATTTTTAATAAAAAAATTTTCAATACTTCTTTTAAAATAGTCACATTATATATATAATTTCTTTATAACAATAAATTAAATTTCCTTATTTTTAATAATTTTATTTTCATTACTTTATTTATGACAAATAGTCACATTATATATATAATTTCTTTATAATACTAAATAAATTTTTTTACTTTTAATAATTTTTATTTTCCTTACTTCTTCACTTTTAATAATTAAATATCTAATATTAGATATGTGCTATTTAATAGAATTCATGTCCTTTTAAGTCATTTTACATTCAAACTTACTTTTACATTTATCATCCAAACAAGTTTCAGCTTCTCAAACTGACTTTTTCTAAAACCCAATCCAAACATAAATCACATTACCCAATCTGACTTTTACTCAATCTGACTTTTGAAAAAGTCAGATTGAAAAAAAAGTTACTTCTCCACCGCCAATCCAAACACACCCTAATACTGTTTGTATCAACTCAACAACACTTAACAACATTTTACTACTAGTCACTAACATTTCGTAACGGGATAAATTCAAGAATTAAAATTATAAATCTGAAATTCTAACAATAACTAAAACCAAAATGGATCCAAATTTGATTAACCAAAAAGTGTATTAAACATTTCTTTCTTTATAAACAAAATTAAATCTCCCAATTAACCCTTATATTTAATACAATAGGGAGAAATATTTGTTGGGGAAAAAAAAGGGAGTAACAACTAAAACGGTCAGTACATGTACACAATATTCGAGATCAACTATACTATTTATAACCTAGAAATAACATGGCTCATACATCGATGATTGATATGAAATACAAATATATTAGCCAACTGGCCATCAATGTACTCACCATTAACTTCTTCATATTCCTATCGTATTTACATATACAAAATTCTATACAATATTCGCCTCACCCGGGTCCACCACAGAGCAGGATGTGAATACAAAGGAATGTACAAAATGTCTTTTTTTCTTTTTTTGCAATTAATACACACTACAAGAACAACTTCACTATTTGATTTTGACGTTATACGATAGGCTGTACCTACTCTGTTGTCCCTGTAAATAAATTAAACAAACCAAAAACAAAGGCTTCAAAGTGATATTTATATCTTTCACATATAAGTAATCAGAATCCGAATGTTATATTTATTATTAGACCTGTCTATCCTTCTGTGGGCGATGGTGGGCTAGACGGGCTTCTTGAACTTTCAGCAGAATGGCCGAGCCGTGGGTCACTCATCACTTCCTGCAAAAGGTTTCTAAACATTTAATTATGATGATAAAAAAATTAATTAGGTTTAGTAGAAAAAGTTAGTTCCTCATAAAATAATAAATCAAGATTCAAATTTTCATTAGGAGATACACCCACATTTAATTCTCAACAGTGCCTCGAACAGAATTACCTCCAATAGCTACTTGTTCTTAGAAAAAAATTATGATGATTATATTGAACTTATTCGTCCTATAGTTTTTAAAGACATGCCATGTATATTTTATCAATACCATTTAAAATCAAATTTAAATGCTCCATATTTGATGAACTCTTTTTTTCCCCCCAAAGAATTTAGACTGACTAAATCTATCTAACCTAGACTATTTAATACTTGCGCACATCTTTAAAAAAGAAAGTTGCAGAATTATAGAAATATGGATCCCTTGAAGCTACTCTAAATAAAGTAAGGAGAGACATGGATTCAAATAGTTAACTAGGTAATGTGTTGTGCCACATCATCAATTTAGTCACTAAAAAGTCCAACAAGTGAACATGTAATAATAAGCTCCGGTGCAGGCAGTGACAATTGGTGCATATTGCTCACTTGTTGTGAGATTTTTTAGTGATTAGGTTGCTTATGTGAAATTGCATAGTGATTTTCCCAAATTAACCCCGCTTTTAACGTGTAGGTCCCACAATGAGAAAAATGACACTTTGAAACATTGCAAAAAGAATAATAATCAAGGACATCGACTTGGAAATAGTTTAATATGAGCTCAACTGGAAATCATGGAAACTTGCTGGCAATAGTCCTTAGCTATCAATAGTTTATCCTGAAGTGAAGTGAGTCCACAGGATCCAAACGTAGGATTCTAGTAGGTAGCTAGTTCTGACCTGTTGTATGGAAGCTTGACTGTTGTTGGGAGAGGGCCCAGCAGAGCCAATGCCACCTAACCAGACGCCACTAGGGTGTTCTTCAGCATACTCTCTCAACTTATTGAGCTCTGGTAATATCACTTTGCCAAGATCTGGCCTATCTTTGCGTCTGAGTTCTGCACATTTAAGTGCTAGGTTTGTGAAGCACAAGGCCTGTTCAATTGGCCAATCAGGAACCGATGGATCAAGCATATCCTCAAAGGTGCCCTTCTCAAGAGCCTCTTCCACAATGTGAGCCAACCCCATTGGAGGCTTGCCTGTTACTAGCTGTAGAAGCATAATCCCAAGAGAATAAACATCAGACTTCACTCCCAACATTCCTGTTTGCTGATACTCTGGATCAATGTAACAGAATGTCCCTGCTGCTGCAGTCATCCGACATTGTGTTACATTCTCAGCAACAGCAGGCACCAACCTAGCCAATCCAACGTCGCTTATTTTACTTACATAGTGATGATCTAGTAATATGTTGGCAGGTTTTAAATCACGATGTACTAAAGGTTCAGGCTTGGTTTGATGGAGAAACAGTAGGCCTGTGGCTATTTCTGAAGCAATTCGAAACCTGTACTGCCATGGCAAAACACGATTGTGATTTCTCTTACGAAACAGACAATCTTCTAGGCTTCCATTAGCCATGTATTCATAAATTAGTATGCCATATTCTGGACATGCCCCAAGTAGTAGTACCATGTTGGGATGGCGTATGCAGCTGAGTATGTCAACCTGTAATCACAAGAAAGCCAAGTTGTGATGAAGATATGATATGTTTTCAAATTCAGTAAAGTGCTTTACTTTTTCACAATTAGAACTGCTCAGGCTCACTGCTTGGTCACCTCTTGCTGAAACTGTGCCCTCCCTTGAGCAGCATCTGGTCGAAGAACCTTCACAGCCGCTGGTGTATGATCAAGGTAACACTTGAAGACTGGGCCATACCCTCCTTCTCCAATTTTCCTAGACTCTGAAAAATATTCTGTTGCTTCTTCAATCTCTTCAATACTATATTTCCTGTATCTTCCATCACTTTGGGTTAGGTTATCCAATAGTTTTCTAATTCCTTCTGCTTCTCTCAGTGCTTTCATTTCAACACTTGCTCTTTTATGAGATTCCACTGCAGCTATTTTCTTAGCTGCTTCAGCTGTTTCCATGGCTGCCTTACTCCTTGCTTTCTCTTTCTCTGCAATTGCCAGTGCAGCTTCTTGTGCTAATCTTGCTTCTTCTAACTTCTTCTCTTCCTCTCTTCTCCAGCTGCTCAACTCTATTAACTGTCACAATTAAGAGAGTATTACGAGTTGGAATCCCCACATAACCCAACATAAATAAATAAAGTTGAAGTATAATCATACCTTTTGTTGTGCTGTAAGTGCTTCTCTGCATGCTACGCTGTACATATCCATTGTTTGCTTTAACTCAAGCTTCAACCTCCTCATATCAGTTTCTACTTCTTCCTACACATTTAAGCATATATAATTAAGAAAGTGCACATCATCAAAGGACAGGGCTTGAAAACTTCTTAGCTTCATTGACATGATGAAAGTTTATTAATTACAAATGGGTATGATCTAATGAGTTGCATCTCCCTATTGGCATCTAAGTCTAGAGGATGATGATTTATAATAACTGATAGATAATCATCTTGCAGGCATTGTATTTTGACAGACGGCTAATAAGTCAATAAGAAATTGTTATCACCATGTTCTGAGATGAATATGAAAATGATGCTTCATCCCCGTTTTGTGCAAATGACACATCTGGTGAAGTGGGATCCATGGGCTTGAAGCCTAAAGGAGTTGATGCAAAGCTACGATCTGAGCCAACTGAAATGCGTGGGGTAGCATCCATATAATCATAGAACACAGAGGATGGACGAACACTGCTTGGTCTGCCTGAGCTTATAAATGATATGTCTGATTCTGAATCTGCATAATCCACACAGGACCTTCCACTCAAGCCTCCTCTTCCTCTTCCATATGCTGACCTGCTTCATCAACAAGAATGTCTACTACTTTTCTTCATTGCTCACACACACACACACACCCGTGTGCATTTTAGTTGCTATGAAACTTACCTAATGGATTCATCTTGCCAACTGTGAGGTCTAACAGGTGTTTTGTCTGCAACATACATATGCAGAGATTCTCATGTAGTAAATATATATTTAGAGCAAGACATAGGAACAGAAGAAAATTAAATTTGATAGTAAAAAGTAACCTCGCAAATGCTTATGTCTAGAGGGCATCTCAGGCTGACTCTCAGTTTGGTTATTTAGATTCTGGATTTTACTAAGCAGAGGAGAGGCATGAGGAGCTGGACGAGAAGCATTTCGAACAGAAGATATTTTCCCCTTAGTTATGACATACACAGTGCAGAAATCTGGAGCCCCTTTGGTTATGCCACTTGGTATATTTGATGACTTAAATCTGCATGAAACTTTAGAAATCACAAGTAATAGTTGTACAATAAAAACTAAAACATGCTGTAGAGAAGTTAATTTATTTACCTAATGAATCCATGCCTTGATGTTGCCCCAAGCACCAAGTTCTCAATCGCAGCATAAGAGACAAATTCTATTACTGCTTTCACAACATCAGTGTCTTCAAGTAGAATATCAAGGCATTTTATCTAAGAATTGCAGCAACAAGCAATGTGAAAGGATGTAACATATAGAGTCAGAGAAATAAACTCCAAATGGAACAAGTTGTGAAGTGAAACCTACATCTTTGCGTGTACAAAAGCAATGGAAGGTAAGCAATAGATCTTTGGTAGTTTTATCAATTTGGTGCCTTTGTGGCGAAGCAGATAGATTGCTGACGTTATATATTACTGATTGACATCCTCCATCTGCATTTGACCAAATGCTCAAGGTTAAAATTATCCAAGGCAGCCTAAGGTTGTTAGATTGGGTAGTACAAGAACTTATGTTGCATTTTCTATACATTCCACCAGTATATTTTCACAGTTTTGATCCACAATAAGGTGGGTTTTTTCTTTAATTCTTTTATAAAATATTATTGGTGAGAGAACGCACAGAAGATAAAAGAGAAAGTGCTGCAAAGAACATAGCTAGCTAAAAACCCTGTAAGGTCTCGAGTTCGAGAGCTGAAACATGACCATTTCATACTTAGGAAGAAAACCACGTTAAAAAAGTTTCTTCTGATCGAAACAAATATGAAGATTTGATAATATTCTCGTTTTTGTCCTAAATATAAGACATAGTTAAGGGATTTATTTTGATCATAAATATAAAATCTTAATCTATCTTACTTTTCAACTTATAAATTTTTCTCAGACTATTCTTTTAATTGCATATATTAAAATGGTTTCATCCATGGGGTAATGATTAAATGGGTACATTTGTTACGAAGAACTAGATTAATTTCTTTCATATCTATAAATTAGTTATCTATCTTCTACATTCAACACTGAAGATAGTATCAAATTTCAGATAATTTGTTGTTCAAAAGCTACTTAATGCAAGCAAGGGATAAAGAACCTAGGTATGGTATGGAGCTTTTGTAAATAAAAAATTATGTTGGAAAACATTTTCCTAATCAAGATGTGACTTAGCTCGAATTCAGATTAGCTCCTAACCCCGAGTTTTGACATGTTTGTGTATGCACACTTGTGTTTAATTAATTCTATAACATAAAAAAAAACAACGTGTTATGAAAAAACTATTGAATTCAGGCAATAAACAAATATATGGCATGAAAAAATTAACAACATACTGGAAGTAGCAGCCGATGACTTGTGCAAAACGTGGATTAGAATAACAGTTTGGCCTCTAGAAAGGAGACTTTCAGCAGCCCATTTGAGAGCTTGTTGGCTTCCTTTATCCTTATCTATAGCGACAGCCACAAGGCCATTTCCTCCTCCTCCTCCCTTTCTAATCCCTGAAGCCTTAGGGTTTGGAAACCACATTCTCTCGCAACAAAAAGCTGGGCATCAATTACCCAACATTCATATATATGATATAACCCCACAATTCTCTGTTCTTCATACGAGGAACAAAAAAGAAATTTTTGGGTTCAATTATTAGTTTTCTGGTAAGTTTATGACTTCCGACGTAGCCTCTCCAAATATGAATTTTTTACTGAATGTGGAAAACAATTTATAGAAATCTACCCCTGATTCATGGATGATCAACCAAACTTTTCTTTTATTGTCTTCTTTAAGGCAAACGTTAGGGAACACAGAGCAAAATACCATGGCCATTAATAGGAAGTTTATGCTTGCTTTCTTATGGGGTTAATTAATCATTACCACTGGCTCAGATTTGAAAAATAATGTGCAATACCATTTCCATTTATTATCTTTTTCAATAGCTATATGATAATAACAATAGATTTGATTTTCGATAGCTAGAGACTATTGTTCATTGTGAATTTTAGAGAACAGAAAACTAAGTTGCCAAAAAAAACGGAAAATACAAAATTAAGGAAAATAAGAAACTCCGAGTTAAAACGCATTAATTACCCTGCCCCTCAAATGGGGAATAGAGATGAGAAGATTTTTTTGTTATGTATAGGACACTGAGAGAAACTTTTTTCATGAATGTACAATTTACCTTTCATTAATTATTATGCTGATTTTGTTTACATGAAGTATAATATATATTAAATAGGGATAAAGTTAGAAAGTTGTTGAATTTTAAATGAGAGTTAATGAAATTTAAGGTTTTTTTAATCTATGTAAAATATATTAGAAGTGACTTATAAATAGAATCAGAAGAGCGTAAAATTAGCTTGGATTATGTAGCTTGGATTATGTAAATTAATGGACAAGTTAGCTTCTTGTTCTTACGTGCCAAAAGGAAAGGCCCGCTTCACAAAGTGATAGTCAATAAATGTGCCTGGGATACTCATGAAAATATCATTTCATTACTCAAATCTAAAATACAAGATCTATTTTGTGTTGAAATTATACTACAACTAAATTTTATATTAAGAATTTGAAGGAGTACGATTTTCATAATAAATGTCCATAGCAAGGATCCTTGACTTTAGTATTGGAATAAGCAACCAAAATCTATTTTTTGATTAAACCAAGAAAACAAGAGTCACAAAAAAATTACAATATGTTATAGCAAAACAATAATTGTTAGGATTAATAGCCGTGGCTCAACCGATAAAAACTTACTAGGATCACCATTGGTCCATAGTACCAAAAAAAAATGACAAAACGATGGAGACCATGTAACAAGGTAGCTTTAACGCATCAAAAAAATGCACAAGTGGTGTGAAACAAGAAAGGGGAGGGGAAGAGAGAGAAGGAGAAAGGAGGTAGAGAAAATATGCTCAACTTTATTCAATCAACCAACAAACTGTCTACAAAAAAAAAAAAAAACTCCGGAACTATTTATAGAACCAATATGAATCTTAACTAAATATATCATCTGTATAAATCAGGCAAGTATTCCTTACTCATATCCCGTCAAAAAGACTGCTAGGTAGTGGATTGTACGAGGTGCCGCCATAATAAATCGCGTTGGCAATAACGAAGTGCAATTAGATAAAACTCTTCAATATAATACTATCTTGAATTATTAATACTACCTCTGTTTTGAAATATAAGAAGTAGTTATAATTAATTTGTTTTAAATATGAGAGTGTAGTTTACTTTGCCTTTATATTTCATTATTTTCTATTAAATTAATTTCCATGGTGATTGTACTTATTTAAATGTTTCCATTATTATGTACATGATTAACAAGAACATATTTTAAGAAAATAATACTCATTTATTATAAATAATTAACTTAACTAATTTTCTTAATTTTTACAAATTAGTTATCTAGTTCTTATTTTAAGACGGGAGGTAGTACGAGAACAAGTTGAAGGTGGGATTTGGTCTTAAATAGAAGACATTAATTATTTTGTTTATTGAAGCAAAAAAATAAAATGCCTTTGTCTCCCAAATTTATAATTTATTTATCAAAGTATTCCTATTGATTATATATGTTGAGGAGTTTTCATGTAATAATAGTCATGATTAAAAAAAGGTATTTTAGAAAAATCAATTCATATTTATTACATGTAAGTATATAACTATTTTAACTAATTACCTTAATATACTCAAAATAGTTTAAGTAGTTTTTATAATTAGAGGAGGTAGTATCATTAATAAGTGACTCTTATAGTTAAACTATTTTGGAATGGATTTAATTGTTTCTTTATTTCATAATAAAATGACATATAGCTCCAATGCAATTATAGTTTGTTACTTCTCCTTTCTTGCTAGGAGCATAACCAGTTACTTGAAAAGATGATGCGGTCTAATTTGCACATTGTCTACCCTTTGCATTCTCAGGCTGATATATAATATAATATATATATATATATATATATATGTATTGATATGAATTATTAAAAATATATCAATTTAATTTTGACTAATTTTATTGCCATGAACAATCAATTATCAATCAGTGATCATCAATCAATTATACCTCTAAACAAAAATCACTTTTTAAAATAAAAAAATAATTGTTATTTATATTTTCATTATGTATAGGGAAGAATTTCTAAAATAAAACAAGTCATATTTTTAATATGTCCGGACAATAAATTTTAAAATAAAACAAATTGTTTTTATTTTTATATAAACAAGTTGTTACTTCTTTGTCTTTCAAATATTAAAACATCATGTCTATCACACTCAATAAATGCAATTCAACTAATGAATGGACTGATGCTTAAATGAAGCCAATAATACATTGAGTCTAGTAGAAAGAAATAGTCCCTCATAATATAATAAATAAAAGTTCAAATTCCTGTTAAAAGAGATGTCCACAACTCACATTTAATGCTTGACAATGTTTCAAATAGGATTATTTTTAACAGGAAGATATTTGTACCTAGAAAAAAAAAAAGTCTAGTTTTCATAACACTAATCTTAATAAGGTCAATACCTAAAATCCTTTCAATGTAAACCGTTGTTGAATTAGTGAATCATATCGTGCAGTTGATCATTCACTGCTTTGCATGGTTTTTCAGTTTTGTATCATTTCAGGCGGTTCACTACAATACAAACCATGACAAAACTAAAAATAATCGGATAAAATGTGAAGGAATATATTGAAAAATTTTCAAATTACAGACCGGTAGGAAAAATAAAATTCATAGTGATAATATCATAGACAATCCTTATAAAATATCATTTGAGGGGGATGAATGCTCCTAAATTTATATATTTGTAAAATTTATAATACATCGCACTATCTACAAACTCTTAACATCTGAACAAAACAATACATCTGTCTCCGTCCCAAATGCAATCCTAACCGTGTAAAAATACAAATGTGGTCAAGAAACTAATGCTTCTTAGTTTCTCAATGACCAAAATGCCTTCGTCTTCAGATGAAAAAACAAAATCTTGCTGTTTCATTTGGATGTTGTCAGACGTCATCCCCTCACCATCTTCCATTCCCACTCTACAGGGCCAAGTCCAGGTGGCTTCCGCACAGCCACATTGTCCATCCTTCATTATATTTATAAATCTACAAACAAGTAAAAGGGACACGATTGTGAAGTTCCATTAATATTTAGAAGAAACACTTTCAATCTTATGCGGTAAAAAGTGCATCTCTTGGTTTGATACAACACAATTGTGTTCTAGATTTTATTTAATTGTCATGCCAAGCGGACAAAGAACTTCATCATGCCAACTTGTCTGAAACATGAAATATTTGAAGATGGGAAAAAGATTAAATTAGAATCGTAAATTAATATGGTGAACAACCTTACAATCTCAATTATGAAGCTTAATTCCCAAATCAAAATGGCATCATTCAACGAATGATTGCAATTCCTCGACAGACACCTGCCTATTTTCAGCCAGTGCCTACGGTTCCAATCACTCTTACAGTTTGTGGCAAATTATGACGACATTTCTTGTTTATACCTTCATTTTAAAAGAACAGGATAACCTCATCTTTATAACGCTTGATTGGGTTAGATCAGGAGCTCATAAGCATATTTCATTGCTCTCCTAACAACAAAAGGCTGACTATCTTCAGGCAACAGAAAGATTAAGGGCTAAGATAAATTTATCATAACTTTATAAAGTTCAAGGCAATGACAGACCTTGCTTCTGTGATGCATTAATCTTTACTGAGCTCCGACTCATTATCTACAAGTTCTCGGCCCATGGTCTCAACAGGAAAGAGCATTACGCATATTCCAGAAACAAGGGCAATCATCACAAAGAGAAGCACAGCTGCAATTTGATGACAATAATGCACTAAACCCACTGCCACCAACGGACATAGCATTCCACCAATCCTGCCCACTGAGCTTGCAATTCCAACGCCAGTTGCTCTGACTGATGTTGGGTATATCTGCAGTTCACATAAATGATAATTTCACAAATCCCTGATTTATAGGGATCTAAACAAGTTTATTAAAAAAAAATAGAACAGGGAGACATCAAGATGGAATATAGACCTCCATAGCAACAAACAGCTAATGTCCTTACCAAAGCTATTTCAAAAACCCATTTTGATACTCACTTATCTGAGCTGGGAATGATTGAAATATACTCCATAGCTTGAAGGAGAGTATGGAAGCATGAAGATTTTATTTTATTTTTTATTGATGTAAATAAAGAGAATTATTGTAAATTTATCTTAGCTATGTTGTAAAATAGTATTTGCCCCACGTCTATAAACAGAAACCTCCTTAATTTTGATCATTTTATCCAAAAAAGAAAAAAAAGAATAAAAGAGGCCTCCTCAATTGCAAGCATAAAAAAACTAATTCAAGGGGGAAATAATTTTCTCTACCTCTATTCTCTGATCAATCAACTATATTATATCTAGATCACATCAAAATACCATGAGCATGGTGTTATATAACGTTACCATTTACATCACAGAGAGTTATGGACCAAGGCCAGTCCCGAGCAGCCAAAACTTTTCGAAAGCAAATTAGCGGTAAAAACAATTAGGACAAATTAAATAATCACAAAATGTGATAATAAGTGGGATCGCTGTGAAAACTAGTCAAGACTCTGGATATGAATTATGCATTTATAATGAATATAAGAGTGCCATTATCCTGGAACTTCTGCATTCTATAATTATGTTTAGACTACTCTTATATCCTTTTAAATAATTCAAAATCAATTCCCTTCACTTCGAATAAGTTGTTACCTCTGGAGCATATATGTACACAATAGTGAAGCTTCCAGTGATGCATATGCGAGCTCCGAACAGAAGCCCTGTTGCTAGACCTTCAGGCAGGTGAAAAACTAGTGGTAGAAGGAAAATGCAATAGACGAAGAGCATAGCTGACATTGAGATCTTACGACCGATTTTATCTACTGCTGCAGCGGACAAGAGGAGCCCAGGTAGCTCTATTCACAAAACATAATCATGTATCAGTCATCCATCTTCCTCCAATGATGGAGCAATATAACTCTGAAATAAGTCAACAGTAATATTTGGAGTAAATATTAGTCCCTCAGGAAGATGTTTTTTTAAAAATTTAGTCTCTTCCTCTGGAAATACAAGATGCACAACACCAACCTCACTTACAACCCCCCCCAACAAAAAAAAAAAGTAAAAAAAGTTACAATTACACCTATTATGATCAAAACATATGTAATTGTCTTGCATAAAAAATAAATAGTTACTTGATCGATATAAAACAGTCACTTTCTAAATTCAAAATAACTTGAAATAATGTATTTTCAGGACATAATAATAATATCAAAATAAAAGTTCATAAAATACATTTATTATAGTTATATTTTCAATGGAAAATCGATATTATCCTTTAGGATATTTTGGTCATTGTTTGACTTTGAGGAAGGTTTGCGTTTGTTTTCAACAATAAAAGTTTCGTTCTATTAAATGGATTGCATAGTGCCATTATATTCTATTTGGAACCAATTCTTCCTATAAACCATTGTGTTTTTTTTTTCAATAATAAGAAAATGTTTCTGCAATCCAAGTATCTCCTAGCGGAAGTAGTAGCAGTTTATCTTAATTTTAATACCTGCAAAACTAGCAACAAAAACATCTCTGTAGCTAACACCATTGTTCTCTGACTGCAATCTAGGTGAGGTGCATTTACTACGTCCATTGTTCCATTCTGAGGTCAGCAAAACAAGGCCGTAATATGAAAAAGCATTACCAAAGAACACAACCCATAAGAGAAGGGTTGACCTTGCCAATTTTGATGAAAGAAGTGTTAAAAATGATGAAACTCCCCCAAAGTTATTATCCATTTCTTTAGTAGGTCCAACTCCATCTTTTGGTGAGAGTAAATTTGTTTCTTCTGCATTAATACTGTCCAGATCAGTTTGATTATCAGAAGTAATGATGCCAGGAGGTAGTTTCGTTCCATTCATTTTTGCTATTTTCTCCAAAATATTGACTGCATCAGTAGTTCTGCCCTTTAAGCATAGGTATCTTGGTGACTCAGGAGTCATTCTGTAGAACAGGAGAAGGAATAGTGATGGCAGGGAAGATAATGCAAGTAACCATCTCCAACCCAATCTTGGCATGACCAACTGCAAGAAACATTGAATTAGAAGAACATGTCTGTGCTCAGTTTGGTCATTCACATGAAACAAACAATCATAATAGTGTCCACCTCAGAAATTTAGTGCTGAAGGCTAAACACAAGTCATTTAGATTGAGATGTGACCTTTAATCTTTTGGCCAATTGCAAATAAAAAAGTATCAATCGATATAATATGAAGTCTCCATAATCAAGCAATTAGAAGTTCAATCCTACATACCCTATCCTTCAAATTAAATTAAATTTCAGCTAAGCTATAATGTATACTTTTCTTCGTTAAAACCTCAAGTTGAGTAACAAAACTTGTTAAAGGTGATAGAAATCCCCGTGAACAATGTACCTTTTTAGCTATATCCTACTACCTTTGTTTCAAATGTAAAGCAATTTTACCTAACACATACCCGCCAAGAAAAGTAGCTAGATGGTTAAGATTTAAAAAATTTCCAATTTTGCTTTTACTTAATGCATAGTAAGTAGACCTAATGAAGTAGAGGAAAGTAATTTCAATATACTCCTAGGGGCATTTTAGATTAAAAAGATATTAATTTTCCTTAAAACTTGTAAAATGCCTTGTACATTGAAGCATAAAAAAATGCCTTATATTTTGAGACATAGGTAGTAGAATTTATGCACAGATCTGTATCAGATATTTCATTAGTCCCTACTATCCTGAACAGATATTTTGGGTCCTAGAGTAGCCTTCCTTGTATCTATAAATTCCTATTAATTTTGCCTCATTTAATACAACAACTAGAATTCCAGACATTTTACCCTAGAATTAGAGCCTTAAGCTCTTTTTCCGATGGACTTCATTTTCTATTTTCCTTCCCAAATGTGACCATTATTATTAGAATAGGATTGTTATTATCTACATTATAGATTATATATAGAGTATGCTAAAGGAAAAAAACTTCAGTGATAGATTGTGTAGGTAGGCCATATTGATAGGCTCTCAATAAGCCATAATTACCTAGGCCCATCCCTTTTTGTATATATACCCTCTTCTTATATACCCTCTTCTTATATGAAACACATGCTTTTGTATCATTCCATTTTTGTTTGTCACCGAGTGCTCATTCTTGTCACTGTCAGTAAGCTTCCTTGAGCATTGTCCACAATGGGCTCCATGTGCACATCCTCCAACTCAAGCAGGTTCAGAAGGCTCTGATCAGTGCATCCTCGGAATATTGCTGCCGTCTGACATGAAGCTCATGTCACATGCCGTCTCGACTACTGCTATCTGTCCATGTACCAGCTCGTGCAACATCCATCTCATTGGCAAGCATTGATCAACTTACCAAGACTGACCAGATCACAGCTGGAATCCACGCACAACACATCAACCTTGTTGTAACAAACCCCATGCACTGATGGATTACAGCCTCTCTCTACAGCAATTGGCAGCACAAATCATGCTGTCAAAGGCTTCCATAAGGCTCAAGATATGGTTTCTTATACAGGTTCGTGTCAAAGACCTCTAGAAAATTATTTATTTGTATCACGTGGGGCCTAACATAGACTATGCTGTATGTATTATATGATTCCTTGCCAGCTTGTCTAAAAAAAAAAAGAGATAACTTCTAGAAGTGACTGGCTGACTTCCCAAAAGTAACCCACTCAACCTTCTTTTAACAAGTTTCCACTACTTGGCTTACACCCCAGGGCACCCACCAGCTTTCTTACTAGTGCCTGAAATCTTCAATACGCAATTCTAAACTTCCGAAAGAAACATGACCATAATAGTTAAAAGTAAGTCAGACACTAAAGGAGAACACAAGCAACTTTCAGCAACAGCTTAAGCATTAGCGTTGAGAAATTTTTGTCTCCTTCCAGACCATGAATAAAATTTGAGGTATACACCCAGTAGCATGCTCTCTTTTGGGGGCAAAATCCTTAAAACTAGAGAAGTAAAAGACATACTTGATTTCTGATCTGTTTCCCCACAATTTAATGTATATAATATAACAACTCAGTCACCTTTCTAAAATACATAGCAACAAAAAGAAGACGGTTAGGAATTTAAGATCAATAGATAGGATAAGATATTTTAAAATTCCTTTTTACAAGGAAAATAAATATCCTTACCCATGCAAGTGATGCTTCCAAAATTGTTCCAAGAGTCCAAAATGCTGAAAACACAACCATCCAGGTCCCTCTGCTGGATGCTGGAACAAACTCCAGAAACCAAGATGCTAATACAGGGCCACCTCCCAAACCAACACCAACCATGCCACGAAAGATAACCAAAAATATATAACTAGGCGAAAAGGCACTCAGGAGACCAGCCATAGCAGTAACTAGAGCTGGGATAAGAAACCCCTTCCTGAAAGAATTGAAATAAATTAAAGAATAAAAAAAATTATATGGCAGATAATGCTAAATGAACACACCAACAGTTGTATGCAGTTTAAGAAAACATTCATACAAACTATTTTCTAATCACAAAACAGAGAACCAGCACAAAATGAAAACAGAAACTGGTAAGATCAAAAAATGTCTGTGCTCGTTCCACAAAAAAAAACATATTAATTTTATGAGAGAATAATTAAACAACCAGCAATTACACTTAAATAATTGCAGCTGGCACAATGAACACGTTTAAAAATTAACATAAGCCACTGTAAACAAATTAAATTAAGTATACGTTGAGGTAACACAGAATTAAAAGTTAAAGTATAAATAGATAAATCTACTAGCGTAAATGAAAGACATATTCAACCCATTAAAGATCTTAATAACATCAAACAAGAGAACTTCTACCTCTTCATGAGCATTGAAGTACTCCTCGGAACAGCAGGATTGAAAGTAAGCAATCTATTGCGTTAAACAGAATCTTACTCCGATGTTACTTTAGGGTGATTGTTAAGGATTCCTTAGTGCCAGAAATGAAAATGAAGAAGCAAGGAGAGGAAAAGCCAGATTGTCTCTCCTTTCCATTTCCTTTCTCTATGAAAAGTTTGCTGTTCCCCAAGAGTTTGGGTTTTTCATCCTCAATTTTTTAAAATCTCCCCCTCAGCATATATTATGCACAAGACCATAACTTGCTTATTTCAAAGACAGCAAAAGACAATTTTATCAAGTTTGATATATGCCCATGTTGTCTGTGGTAAGGCTTATGCAGTATCCGGACACTCACATTTTTAATCTCCAGCTTCTAAGCACTCTAAAAGAGCTTGTCTTTCTCTTTGGGTGGAATTAAAAGACATCTCACTCAGCATAGCTAGGCACGATACAAGCAAAAATACTGGGCATCACTTCCAATATATTGCTGTAGGGAAAATGACATTAGAGAACCCTTTGAGGGACTTTATTATAATAAAAGACCACGAGCTATTGAAATTTCAACAAAAGCCCATTGCCTTGACTGTAATTAAAAATAAATTGAGCTGACTAAAATGCCCCTTTTAATAAAACATTATAGTTTCTTATAGAGTTACGTTGTTTCTCTGACTGAAACTCCACGTATTTCCATACCTTTGGCATTTTCAATCTCCGGCTGAGTTATCTTTTCCTCCCCATCGACACCCCATGCATTTCCAGCCTACTGAAAGAACAAAGGTAGGTTGGAAATAACATGGAGAATCAGTTGAGAAAACACTATAACTTAGAGCCCATTTGGAATGGCTTATAAACAGTTTTTTAATCGTAATCTATGAAATATGAGGTAAGCATGTTAAAAGAATTTTGTTTTGACTTACATGAAATGTACTTATAAGTGCTTTTAATTGTGATTCCAAACAAGGCTTTAGTAGGAAACTTTTAATGTTTTGATAAAAAAAAGCATTTTAGTCCACTCAATTTATTTTTAATTTGAGCTAAGGATCATGGTCCTTTATTGAGATCTCAATAATTTGTGGTTCTTAAATGTAATAATTTCTTTTAGAGGGTCTTCAAATGTCATCTTCCCCGTATTATAAAGCAGTACCAATAACATTGCAAGAAAAACTGAGTATAGCCCCAGGCCCTGTTTAACTCTTTAGGGCTTACCCAAAAGAATACTAAACATATGGAATCTAACAGATTCAAACACCCCTATTCTCACCATGTCCTTCACATATTTCACAGAAAGAGGTGCCATTTAATTAATGCATAGACTAGATACTAAGAAGAAAAGGGCGCATACCTTCTTCCATGCTTATCTGAAACAATACCCCATGTGTAAGACCCCATTAGCATGCCAGCAAAAACTATACTAGTTATTAGGTTCTCTTGCTGAGGGGAAAGACTCCATGCAGATTGAACTGCTGGGCCTACAACAGAGAGTATCATCATTTCCATTGCTTCAGCAATCCAGCCAAGGCCAGCGTAAGCAAGCACAAGTAATTGGAAATTTCCAAAACCCATGGCAGTTAGAGCTTCATCAATTGTGTAGCCTGGGCCTCCGTCCACCATCTATAGTTCCAAAATGAAAATATTTAGTACAGATATACAACTAAGAAGATTTTTCCAAATTTAACCTATAATTATATCAAGATTTAACACAGAATAATAGATCCAAATAATACATTTTTCATTAAAAAATTATTTAGGGAGAAAAAGAGAACAGCAGTGGGGTGTGAGAATTCGCTCAACATCAATTGTAGCTAGGAAAAGAGAGAGCAAGAAAAAAGTAAGCTCCAAAATGCTCCTCAAATTATCTGCAAATATAACAAGCATGCCCTTAGTTTATCCATAGGGGTAGGCCCAAAGTGGAATCCAGAAAAAACTACCCAATCCTAAATGAAATTTTCTACATCACAGGTACCCAAGGTAACAAGTTTAATGCTTTAATTTAATCAAACGCACCTAATAATCCTCCAAAATGGTTTGTGAGGACAAATTCTTGCTCACCATCCACCAACTTCATAGTAACCCCACTGTTAGACGCATGCAAATATCACTTCACTAATACTTGTTACTTCCTTGAATAAAAATTGCGTATTATATTGTACTGTGGGCTGAGCATTTCCCATTGTCCTTATTGTAATAAAAATAGTACACAAATGTAAAGCGTAAGTCATTACTGTGCAGGCCTCCATGCAACCTACCTGATGACTCTATTATAGGAATTATAGCAACAGTTTAGTGAATACAAGTAATGAATAGGACCAGAAGGAAAGTCTTCCTTAAGCAACAATTTTGTCCATCATTCAACTAATTAATACAAGAGTGACCTCGAGCACAGAAATGTCAACCAAAGCACTAGATTTTCAACAGCTTTAGTGATAGCATAGACCATTTCAACTGTCTTTGCAAAAACATGGGCAGCAAATTATCAAATAATTCAAAACCTGGGTGAAAAGTTAGTCCCGGAAATGGCAAATCGGCGAAAGATGGACAGCTCATATCATGATGGCTTCAAACAAACAGACCAGCAGCCAATAGTTATTTTAGTTTTTCATTCTTCGATTTTTCACATAATCAGATTTTTAAAACACACACACACAACAGCAAAGGGTTTTTGGGAGGCGGTGAGGAGGTAGAGGAGCTACATTTCTTTTCCTGATGCCTACCAATGGAGTGTCATTAAAAAGCAGGAAAAACATCAAGCCTGCTCCTATTTTCCCAAGGCTCCCATAACTTATTCATGGAGAAATCTAGCCCTTAATGTGAAATGGGATACATCCTTTTTTTTATCAGCTTTGGTTGCTCTAAGAAACAGAAAGAGCCGCATCTATGAATCCAAAGAGAAATCGAAGAAAATAATATGCTAATTGCCAACTATGACCAAAAGAAAGAGCCAAAATAACGTCTATTGCAACAAACCGAAGAAGAAAAAATAAGCGTAATGAATACAAATGGCTGAAAGCAATGAAACAGAAATATAAACAAGTAATGTGCATCGTACTTTTTCCAAGACCAAAAGGGTGTCAATTGAAGAGGACCCAGGAGAGGAGATTGAGACGCTGGATCTTTTGTTCTTCTTGATCTTCGTAGAGCAATCAAAAGTCAAAATACTGATGAGGAAATAGATTACAATCCCTCCTTGATCTTCACAGAGTAATCAAGGAAGTCAAATTGTTTCGCGAATAGAGATTAGAACGCTTCCACATATATATAAGCTTCCACCTAAAAATTGACAAATTCTTCATTTCAAGCATTGCGAGGCCAAAAATGTTCAAAGATATTTACCGAACTCGACTGAAAATAGGACAAATTTCAAAGTAAAATATAATATTTTCTTACTTGTCATTAAGATATTTTGACAATTATTTCCTTTCTACGACACTATTGCAATTCTTCCTCTCAAAAAAGAGAAAAATTGTATCAAGATCTAACTCAAAAGAATTAAATAAAAAAATTTCTTGAAATTATTAAATTAATCATGTTTTAATGGAACTCATTGTAAAAAAAATTATTTGTTCAATTACTAAATTGCCTATATTTTTTAAGTATGTATTGACAATAAAAAAGAGTAGTTGTTAACAACCTAAGATGTAATGATAACCTATGTATTAAATCTTTGTGATGCGCTGAAAATGTATTGTTAATACATGTCACAATAATTGTTAATCATTGTACCTTAGGTTGTTTATGATTATCTTTGTAGTTGTCAATGCATACTTAAAAAACAAAAAAAGATGTGGACAATTTAGTAATTGAACAAGTGGAATATCTTGTAATGAAATCTGTTAGGACTTTAGATTAATTTGATGATTTTAAGGGTTATTTATTTAATTCTCTCATGTGGTATTTAATATGATTTTGACAAATCCATGATGTTCGCCAATTTCGGCCCTTAATATAATAGCTAATTTGACTTACAATTTGGTCCTAACTATACGTTTCTAATTTACTTTCACTGTTATATTTATCTATTTTTTTAAAATAATAATTGTAACAGTTACACATGTTAATTGTTCAATCAAATGATTCTTTTAGTTAATACGTATAATTAGTAAGAGTATTTTAGAAAGACAACACATAATTATTATAAATAAATAACTTAACAAATTTTTTAATTTACTCAAATTATTCAACTAATTTTTATATTAAGCACCCGAGACAATAATAAACTATGAAAAAGAAGATTATGAATCTTCCAAACGCTCTGGCGGAATGCAAGAACGACCCAAATGAATTATCCTAACCTCCTAAACAAAAATCAGCAGCGGAGAGGCAGGGTCTATGTCTGCATCATTTCCATTGGCACCTTTAGATATTGGCATTTTCATTTTTAATTTGATTGATTGCAAGATCGAAATGACATTACGGAAACTAGGCCAACAAAATGATATCACAGAAAGCTGGCCTAAAAATGGACTTTTGATTTGTGGACCTAGGCCCAATTAGGCCCATTAGCAATTAGAGAAAAACTCTACTAATTATCATCTTATTATTCCTTAATTATGTATATATCTTAGATATCTAGATTAGATATGATAAGATAAATTTAGATACTAAGGCTTAGTTTTCAGCAGCTCCTATGTCTTGTATTTATATATATTTCAACTTTACGTAACTTTCAGAATTAAAGCAATAATAGAATTTGAGGTGCACTTCACCTCAATTCCCTACATGGTATCACTCATAGAATAATATCATGTCTTCGTCTATGAGCGTTGTTTTCTCTCTATCTCTCGAAGTCTTAGGGTGTGGTTGCCTAGTTTGTGCGACTCGGTTTCCTCTACTTGTCTTCATTATTCGACACCCAAAGTGAAGTCACTTCGTCCCCATATGCCGTGGCTTGCACAACTCAAGCCATCTGCGGGTTCTACATCAGCGTTGTCCAGCGTGTTACCCACATACGTCATTCTCCTTCTACTTCTTCGACCTCATGCCTAATTCTTTTTCCACAATGACTTTAGTGGAAAACTCTAATAATTATCTGCTTATTATTCCTTAATTATGTATATATCTTAGATATCTAGATTAGCTATGATAAGATAAATTTAGATACTAAGGTTTAGTTTTCAGCAGCTCCTATGTCTTGTATTTATATATATTTCAACTTTACGTAACTTTTAGAATTAAAGCAATAATAGAATTTGAGGTGCACTTCACCTCAATTCCCTACATGGTATCACTCATAGAATAATATCATGTCTTCGTCTGTGAGCGTTGTTTTCTCTCTATCTCTCGAAGTCTTAGGGTGTGGTTGCCTAGTTTGTGCGACTCAGTTTCTTCTACTTGTCTTCATTGTTCGACACCCAAAGTGAAGTCACTTCGTCCCCATATGCCGTGGCTTGCGCAACTCAAGCCATCTGCGGGTTCTGCATCAGCGTTGTCTAGCATGTTACCCATGAAATAACCTTCCTAAATAAACAGATAAAATTAACTTTTTCATAGTAATTTTAAGAAATAACTTTTTATAACCAAACCATGCTAAATACAAACTCAAATTATATTACAATCATCTACACTAACTAATTATATAATATTGTTATCCGTGATAGAAAAAAGCAGAACCCAAACATACATCCTATCATTGATAAAAAAACTTTTCTTAACTCATTCAAATACAAACTATATAAGAAATGATCAATCTTATCTAATATGGTTACAAAACAACATATAATATAGCTCATAAATCAAAATATTAAGAATTAAATCTTAATTCATACTTTATAATAAATTCATAAACAAATCACATGCAAATATGCGATCATAGGCCTCTGGCCACATATCAGCACACATACCACAATAGTACACTCAAAGGACATAAGAAATAATAATGCATGAATCGATTAAAAACAATTTATCCTAAGGTGGCAATATATAGGATACAACATAGCTCATAAATCGAGGAGACGCTACAAGTTGCTAATGTAGCTTTACTCCTCTTGAGCCTTCCTTGACGTCCCTCCTTTAAAGCTTTCACCTGAAAAATGTTAAACAATAGGGATGAGATAACGTCTCAGTAACTAAATCCCTACCCATCACACACACTAGCATGGGCTAGTGAGGTGTCGGGTGGGATATACAGAGTTAATAATAGTCAATAGACACTTATCTAATAGTTGGACTCACAATAACCATATAGGTCAAATATATCTGCCAATCTCATGCAACTGATGATTTCAAAAGAGATAACATACTTTTCATTTATTCAAAAGATATAAACATCAATGAAGATATCATGTCATATGAAATCCATGAACCCAAATCCATCCTTATATCCTCCTTATTTCCGCCGATTGGACCCATGGGCTAAGTCTTTCCATTTGACTGGCTACTCTGACAAGCTCACCACTCGAGTGATATGGACTGACCAAAGACCACAGAGCACTCGATGGACCATGGGTCCCCCCTCGAAGAACTAGTGGGGTGTTGCAGTCCCTCGAAGAACTAATGGGACAACAATAGTGGCCAACCATAGAGTTTCGTATGGAGGCCGATACCATGTGGTAAGTATATACATCTCAATAACTCTAATCATCTCCTTCACCCACCCAAACTAGATGCATAGGGTTCAAAATAACACATTTATATACATAATCAACCGAATTCCAGAACAACACCTCATAGTCATAATCATTAATTTCTAACAATACAAATGATTTCAATCCTTTTCAAAACAATATCCCACACGACAGTTCATACAAAACATCATATATATATATACACAAAACTTGGTTATAAAATCACTCACCAACCTCATATCAATGCATGTAACAGATAGAAATTTAGTTACTTGGTCTCCTAGCTAATAATCAAACACAAACAAGGCCCGTACTCGAAAATGCCACAATAGTGTTTATATCTACAATTGAAATTAAAACATTATTTATATAGAATTAGAGTAAACTACTCACAAATTCGTAACATTTAACACTCCCTCTAATACATTCAGCTGTTACTCGAAATTCTAGCTCGAAAGGCTTTTTTCTAAGGTTTAGGGTAAGAACATATATATGACGATTTATATTCAGTTCCTAGGCTCCCTTAACTTATGTTATCTTTAGTTATTAAATTATATCATTTGAAGCACCAAATTCACAACCTAGATAGAGAACCCTCAATTTATAACTTATGTTCTGTCCTCAAAGAATTTAGACGGATAATCTCAATATGAGTTAATCTATTCTTACTGTAGAAGTCTAATTATTAATCCAACCGTTGAATTTAATGTCTTATATGTCATAAGACTACTCTCTAAATTTCGGGTTAATCCAATGGTGAACAAATTTAAAAACACTAACTTACTATCTAGTATTCTATCTACCAAATCTAAAAAAAAATGAAAAAAACATACCTAATAACTTGTAACTCAGACATTGAATTGATGATCCAACCGTTGAAACTAACAAGTTTGAAGTCTAGGATCAGCTGACCAAATTACAACCCGATCCAACGATTTACAGACCCGTAAACAGCACTTTACTGAGACTGTCTCAGTTTTGTGTGAAAATTATTTGATTCATCTTTAACTCTTCCCTACTACCACCTATATATAGGCTTCTAGAGCTTCCTCTTCCCATTATTTAGTCAATGTGAGACTTCTTAACATTGCTATTTTATCCATTTCCTATCGTTTAATCAATATGGGACTTCTTAACATCGTTATTTTATTCATTTTCTCATACACACACGCACAAAATCAAAATTATTTTAATTACACATAGTATATTTAACCTCTACCTATTCTATAAAAATTTGTTTAAATATTAGATATATGAAAATTAGTATGTTACAACCCACATACGTCATTCTCCTTCTACTTCTTTGACCTCATACCTAATTCTTTTTCCACGATGACTTTCGTGGAAAACTCTAATAATTATCTGCTTATTATTCCTTAATTATGTATATATCTTAGATATCTAGATTAGCTATGATAAGATAAATTTAGATACTAAGGCTTAGTTTTCAGCAGCTCCTATGTCTTGTATTTATATATATTTCAACTTTACGTAACTTTCAGAATTAAAGCAATAATAGAATTTGAGGTGCACTTCACCTCAATTCCCTACATGGTATCACTCATAGAATAATTTCATGTCTTCGTCCGTGAACATTGTTTTCTCCTTATCTCTCGAAGTCTTAGGGTGTGGTTGCCTAGTTTGTGCGACTCGGTTTCCTCTACTTGTCTTCATTGTTCGACACCCAAAGTGAAGTCACTTCGTCCC